TTAGAGGAAAGGGCCAAGGGTCTTCCTCCCCTTTAACTTCTCGCCTTTGCACCCCCGCCGCCCTGGCAATGGTACGGCCTGGAGCAAAGCATAAAGGGAACCGAAGGCAGAGGAGGCCGTCCTTCTCTTTCTGGCGCGCGGGAGGGCAGCGGGGTTGTCTCGGCGGTTACGGAGGTAAGCAAAGCGGGCGAGGAAAGATCTGCTGGCGGAGATGAGGCGGGCAACCCAACCCAATTGGCCACCCAACTGGTGGAGCCTGAGAGAAGATGGAGAGGAGCGCGCGTAGAGCAAGACTGTCTTTAGGGCCGAGGAAAGCTAAGAAACCTCTCTGGTAACCTTGCACTGCAACTTCTGGCGCCTCGGGATCGGGGAAAGGCGGCTTGCACACATCGCCCCCCCCCCCCGCAGCCGCTTGAACCGCTCGATGCAGCGTGCCATTAAATCTTAAATCGGCGCAAAATGAGAAGGAAAAAAATTCGGGCGGGCAGATCCTGATGTAGAGAAAAAAACGTGCTTCCGTTTCTCCAAGGCAGGGGTGTCAAACCATGGCCATTTTAACAGTTGTGGACTTCAACTTCCAGAGTTAAAGTGGCCAAGATTGGAGATCACCCTGCTCTAAAGCAACGAAACGCCCCGGGCTAGAAGCGCGCGAAAGCCTTGGCGGCTCCCCGGACAGAAGTGGGAGCGCGAGGACAACTTCCGGCGCCCCTCATGACGCTGTGCTGGAAAGGCGATTGTGAAGCGCGAGACCCGTAGAAGCACGTGGTGAGTCTGAACTCAACGGGAAGACCCTGCGTCCGCCTGGTTTTAGACCAAGGGATTCCCAAACATGGCAACTTTTAAGACTCGTGGACTTCAATTTCCAGAATGCTGGCTGGAGAATTCTGGGAGTTGAAGTCCACAAGCCTTAAAAACTTGCCAAGTTTGGGGACCTCTGTTTTAGACCCTTGGCTCTGCATGTATAATGCATGTATGTGATTTATTTATTTTTTTTTTTTGGCTTGGGCAGACATTATTCCAAGTGCCTTTTACCTAAATTGATGCCTTTCTGATGAGTTTAGCCTCAGCAATAGTTCTCAACCCTAACAAGTGTTTAAGATACTTGGACTCCAACTCCCAGATTCCACAGTCAGAATGCCGGTTGAGGAATTCTGGGAATAGTGAATATCCCTTAGTTTTAAGAGTTGAGAAACATTAAGCTACAGCTTCACATTTTCTTGGCAGTGAGTATGGCACTCTTGATAAATTCCATGCACAAAGCAATGGCTTTTTTCTTTACTGCATGATTTGCAAGCATGTAAAGTACACATGTATTTGTGCAGTTAATTTCTGTTCTTGCCTTTAGTGTTGCCCATTCATTTTGGTTGCTAATGAATGTGGTGTCAGAAAAGGCATAAAGCAAGTTTCCCCTATTGTAGCCTTTTTCTTTACAACACTTAAGGATTATTCCTTTGGCGTTTGCTGCGTATGGAACAAATCTGTTTATTCTAAAACCAAAGATAACTACGCTATTGTGTAAGTTGCTTTAAAAATAATGCTATATGTATATTTTTAAAAAATGCTTTTGGAAACATTTCCTAGTGCAGTTGATAAAGTATAATCTGTTCCATGCTAGGATCACTGAGAGGGACAGATGATTGAAAAAGATCCCCAGCCAATCCTCAGCATTTCACATTGCTTGAATCACTTTTCCCCACTTTGAATCTGGATCACTGTACATTCATTTTGGAGCCAGAAAATGATAGGGAAAGCAATTGTCCACTTTTACTGAAAAATTTTGTGATTAGGATTTTGAAACCTATTTGTCCACATTAATTATATAGCTTTGGAGCGGTCCATTTATTAATGTAGTTTATCTAAGGGTTGTTGAGAGAAAATTATGGAAGTGCTTCATGTAGAACACCTGTTCACAGAAGAAAGCTGTAATAGTAAACAAATTTGTGTCCCTGAAGAAATTACTTTCATAGTAAGCTACTTGCTTGGCACTCCATAGTTGTTTTCTATATTAATATTTGGGGTTCCACAGCTAAGGAGGCAACTACGTCTAAGTTTCCTTTCTCTTCTCTCTCTTTAGCTCAGGTTGTAACTATGAGGTTTTATTACTACAATAGAATGTTTGCAGCAATACAAGTAATGACCTAAAGATTCAATTTTTTGGTGTGTTTTTCAGATGTTAGCAGAAAAAGCTGCCATTTTGAATGAAAACAATTCTTAGGATGCAGGTATGGATCTTACAGAAGCTTTATTTATTATCAGATAATAGATTAAAAATTAGAATTTCAGGATGTAAAATTTTGCCTTTGTGTTGCCCATTCACACTGCCTTTGGTGAATGTGGTGTCAGAAAAGGCATATATCAACTCTAGTTGTCATGTTTCATGAGTGGATTATTCATTTTTCTCTGCATTTCAGCTAGAACATACTCCTTTGAAAATGCTCATTCAGCATCTGCAGGGGATAGTTGCATATTTAAAATTTGCATTACTTCATTGATTTATATGATCTTTATTCTTTGTCTCAAGTCAAAATATATCTGAAATATGTCTTTTGTTCCTATGGTTTTTATTTCATTTATATTTTGGCATGCAATTAATAACATTATTGTAATTTTTTTCAAAGAATATCCATGTTTGGAAATTATTTTTACATTGACAGCTTGTGCTTTTATACCATTATAAACATGTATGATTCTTTGTGAACATTGTACAGCTAAGGTGACCATGGATTCTTTTGACATTTCTATTTTTTAAATATATACTGTATTTTTTGGAGTATAAGACACATCTAGATTTTAGAGGAGGAAAACAAGGAAAAGTATTCTGAATCAAATGGTGAAGTAATATATTATTTAATAAAATGCCAGTATAGCAGAATTTTTACAACCATGAATACTTTTTACAACAATGTATACTTTTTACAATTCTGTAAAGCCAACAGCAGTATTAAGAACGATCATCACTGTCATTAACAAAAGAGGGTAGATTTGAAGGTTCAAGCACTCCTCTAATTTTTTGGAAACCCCAAAAACTCGTCATCGTCGCTGGTGTCAGAATTTAGGAAGCTCAGTTGCTCACAATCATTTTCTTCTTCGCTACCTTCATAAATGATATCTTCAGTTCCATCTAAGGCATTGCTAATGCCACATTTTTTGAAGGATTATGTAACAGTTTCATCCTTCACTGAGTTCCATGAGGTTTTCGCCCATTCACAAAACTGAGTGATAGTGGGCCTCCTCATTAGTGTCAGAGCATGATTACCAGCAGCCATCCATTTGTTCCACTCTTCTCGCATGTAACTTTCGAATGGCTTGTTGATGGAAACATCAAGAGGTTGCAACTGGCTGGTAAGATCCCCAGGAATTACAGCTAGATTGGTCTTCACTTCTTT